TTGATATTTCAAAATATTACTGTATATTGGTATGTTATACTTAATGCTTTTGGAATGGTTATAGGGATGTGATATATTTTTTCAGGTATTTTGTGTCTGATGTATGTAAGAGCTTTATTATTGGGTTTATCTCTCTTAGTGAGGCCTTATCAGTATTTTATGTGTCCTATAACCCCCTGTAATTGCGGATTATTGCATACATTCTAATTGTGTTTTTTTTGTAGGGGTCCGAAGATGCAAATGATACCATTTCAAACTTATCACAACCCATATTGTGGCCGTTGGCAGCGAACTAGAATACGACTAGAAACTGTCAATCCCCTTAATCATTCGTTATCGAGAGAAAGGATGAAAGTTCCATAACAAGCAACAGTTGTTTTGATGCAATTATCGCCTTATTGGCAAGTTTTTACATCTTCAATATTGAGTACTGCCACACGAAGAGCGTCTTGTCTGCCTTGGAGACTATAGTAGTGCATGGGCAACACAGAAAATGGCATACAACTGCCAATGAGGGTTACAGCCCTCTTCAATGACTTGTCATGACTCATGAATATTAGTAGTACTACAGTAATTTTACACTTTTTGAGAGTTATGTTGACATATGCTAACCCAAGTTAATGTTATTGATGGAATGTGTGTATTGTCTCACATCTCACCGAACTGTGGTAATGTATTAGAAATTATTCGTATTGCGTTCACGTTAACAACCGCGCATGCTATTGCTATCACAAGTTGATTGCTCTTTAAAATTAGAATTGTAAACTTTCGGAGCCATATGGCATATATGTACGAATCTTTTGATGGTTCCCACATTTTGGTGAGATTCTTAATACTGACTACTGTGCATGTATATTGTAATTTTAGTTATAGTATTGTGTTTATAATACAGAAATTGGAACATTATTTATCTCAACTTATATTACGATAATTCATTCCAATATTGGTCTGTTGGAGAAATTGTAATAATTTAATCAAGACCAAATAAACCCCAATATTTTTGCCTGATTCATTATATACATGTAGAATACGTCTACATGCAAGAGTGCAACCAAATCCACATGACTTTAAATGCTCTATAAAACGGCACCACCAAAAAGCTATATCAGCTCGATCGGTTCTAAAGCACCTCTTCATTGGGGCTGAGACTGCTCTTCTCTGAAAGGGCCAGAACAGCTCCGGTTAACAAAGTAGAGGTTAAATTGGCTTTTCTTTTGGATCTATAATGGCTCTGAAGTTGGACCAAATTGACCCTTTGGGTGCTACAAACTACACCATGAAAAAAGCTATATTAGCTCCTTCGGCTCTAAAGCAGCTCTTCTTTGGGGCTAAAACTGTGCTCTTCTGAGAGAGCCAAAATAGCTCTGGTTAAAAAGGTAGGGGTTAAATTGGCTTTTCTTGTGGTCTACAATGGCTCGGAAATAGAACCATATTGGCCCTTTGGGTGCTAAAAAGCTACACCATTAGAAAAGCTATATCGGCTCTTTCGGTTCTAAAGCAGCTCTTCATTGGGGCTGAAACTACTCTGTAACTCAGTAGCCAAAACAGCTCCGGTTAGCGAGCCAAATCAACGCTTTTTGGGGTTCATTATGACCACAAATGGGAGCCAAATTAACTCCTCGAAATGCCAAAATAGCCCCCTAATTTTCTGAATTGGCCCCTATTGAAAGTTGAAATAGCCCCTGCTTTTGCCATAACAGCTCCTACTAAAAGCTGAAACAGCCCTTACACTTGAATGGCCAAATCACCCCTTAGGGGCCGCATTGTTATAGGTGCCATTTTGACCCCCCAAAAAGATCTATTTTGCGGTCACCGTTTTGGCCCCATTTTTGGGGTCGTTTCAGCCCTTTTTATTTACAGTGTAGTCAACAGTCATGCATAAATAAAAACAGTCCTATATCACCGCCGTATGGAGACTTTATACTAATTGGGTTATGTGCTGCGGTTTCATCATTAGTCATATGCAAATGCGTTCATGATCACGACAAATGAACCTAATTATGAGATTGATACAGATTCAGCTCTATAGTTCGCAGAGGGAATTCGACAATCGAGAAGGAAAAACCCCGATTATATTTTGATTTTTGAAATAGAGATTTGAACGGACGACGCTTTATTGCTTTGCCAAAGGCGATGGCGTTGCCTTTAAGCGTTTGAGTACAAAGGAAATTTTACGACGAGCTAAAATGAATTTACTTGAATTTGCTTGAATTTCTTCTGCGAACTAGAGCTGAATCAATCTCATAACCTTTCATACGAATCTCTTACATCTTTCAATCTTTTTATTGTTTTAATTTTAGATGGAGATTCTTTTGCCTTTCCCTTGGTTTTTCTTATCTATAAGCGCCTCTCTTTGTGTTGAAAGCAGACGTCTCCTGTACTGTCCCACCCCACCCTAGCTATGTGCCACGTGACCAGTCTGAGTCAGGGTTTTCGCTTCAGCGAGTTTCGGTTGGGGGGAGTTAACGGAAGTGAAAACCCTGAGTATCAGGTTGCGTCGCGTCGTGCTCTCTAAATCTGTCTAGTGTAGTAAGCGCAGTAGCGTAGTAAGGGTAGTTGAGTTGCGTAGTAAGCGTAGTGACGTGGTAAGCGTAGTAAGGAAGTAAGAATAGTTGCGTGTTGCCTAAATATATATATATATATATATATATATATATATATATATATATATATATATATATATATATATATATATATATATATATAATTCAGTAGCGTAGCCAGCCCGACGATTTAGTCCCGTATGCAAATATTTTCGTGTTCATTGACTGTGAAGACAATCAATTTCTAAAGAAATGAATAATGATAATAATTTTAAATTTGCATAGCGGGGACTAAATTGTCTAGTTTTGATTTGATATTGTAATCTACAGACAGTGCAATAAAAATGTTTTCTTCTCTATTTTCTTAAAATTGCAATAGTAACATATGTTCTTAGGTTTTCTGGTATTTCACAATTATATACGACATGCATGCAGGTATGTTGTCCAGTCTATCTCCTTAATTAATTAATTTTTCAATTATGGTTCCTGAACTTACCTTTTAATTTAAATTTAAATCATATGAAGTCGTGCTTAGCTATGCCATTTTACACAGGCTCTGGATTGAGATTGTGGCGTCACATGGCTGTCCTCGAACCAATGCCTCGAACATTCGTAATATGGTCGGAATATTTTCCGCATAGTGAATTGCAAAATCCAAACAAAGTTCATGACAACGATAATCAGGCTAATCTGTGTTTTATCACGTAATTTTTTATGTTGTATTTAAAACACGAGAAAGAGTGTTTTATCATAGTTAAAACGCGAGGCGCAGCCGAGCGTTTTAGATATGATAAAATGCGAGTTCAAGTGTTTTGAATAGCTTAAAATACGACCACAAAAGAATAATAATTAGGATGAACAATTATATAATCATACTAATTAGGATGAAGAATTATATAAAGAAAACTAATGAAGATGAGCTTTATCAGATATAAAGTCACTCCACGTGACATGTTATGGCTGACATGATTTGCCACAATGTTTATGAATTTTTAATGAGTATTTTAATTATATTTAGAACTATTAATCTTCATCATCTTTTAATCAGATTAAATTTTATTGAGGGAAATGCGTAACTATAGCTCGTAATAATAAGTATCAACACGTCCTTTTATATATCATCATATCTCTAATTTTATCTGATTTCCCAAGCCGTGGACGTTGCTACATCGTAAATCCAGTAACATCGAATTTCATCGGAAATTATCGCCATTCAGTTGTTACCACATTTACATTATACTTTTCGGCTTCGATGGTAACTTAGTGGCATAAGCCACAGAAATGAACGGGATGGCATTCGAAGAAGGATTTTTTAGAAATTCTATACAGCACGATAGCGATAATATATTCATGCACCTATTACACAGGGTGTCTAAAAAAACGCTACGGAAATTCAACAGGCTGTCATGCATCATAAACGTGGCTAAACAATTCAATTTTTACATAGGACGAAAGAACAGTTATTTAGCTTTTCAATGATACTCTTTTTAAATCGTAACGATGAGAAATGGCCACATACTCGCCAAATAAAAATTGCCGGTCGAAATCACATTCTTCCACTGTTGGGAGTTGCAAGGAAAACGAACAATAAACAATTCCCAAGACAGAATTAAAATTGAATGTTAAATTATTTAAAATAAGCTCAACTCGTCCATCTTTGTCTCAGTGAGACCATAAGAACGTCCATTATTGCATTAAACATGGTTCCATTAACCACTGAACAGAGAACATTCGTAATCAAAACGTTTTACGAAACAAGTACCTTGCAGAAGGCTTGCGTTGCTTTTGGATTGATTAACTTTGCATAATTAATGTAGTTTCAATTCCCAACGGTGGAAGAATGTGATTTCGACCGACAATTTTTATTTGACGAGTTTGTGGCCATTTCTCATCGTTACCGTTAAAGAAAGGTATCATAGAAAAGCTATATAATAGCTCTTTCGTCCTATGTAAAAATTAAACTGTTTAGTTAAGTTTGTGATGCACAACAGTCTGTTGAATTTCCATTTTTTTTAGACAGCCTGTATATTGATGCACAATTAATATTGATCAAAATTTAAATAGAGGGGACTTAGTTAAATCACATGACAACGACCTCCTCGACTTACCTCACATTTCCTCTGTTTACCGCCCCCGTGATATCTTTTCTCAGATCAGTCAGTTTCGCTGTTTTTCTGGACAGTTCTGCCTGGGCCATAGCGCGCTCAACTTGGTCCATCGCTTCATTGAATTTATTCAGATTCCTAGGTTTTGGGCTTGGCTTGTTCTTTAACGAATCAGTTCCATCCCTGAGCATAAACTGACTGCCAGAAAACCACCACGTGGGTCTCGATTTTATACTCTTTGCGACCGACTCGATCGTCGAGCGCGCAAAATCCAGATCGCCAAGAGTTAATCCGTTCGCTTCACGGTATTCTACCGCGGCGAGATAAAGCATGGAGCTTAAAAGTAACCACGCGAAATTCATGTTAATTTTGGATATGTTACTTTGTTTATAACCTCAAAATCTCCAATCAGATATCCAAATTGCGTCTGTCTTCCAAATACTTACGAACTTAATACGAACGTTTGGCCGTGAAATTATTCGGCGTTCTGACGTCAAGAAATGGTTGAAGTAAATAATATCAACTTCTTTCCCCTACAAAATGCCGAACAACAATCAATAAACATTAAAAAATACCAGTACTGATTTAGACCGCGGCTGGGTCTTGGTATTTGCAATTGTATATATATATATATATATATATATATATATATATATATATATATATATATATATATATATATATATATATATATATATATATATATATATATATATATATATATATACAATTGCAAATACCAGTACTGATTTAGACCGCGGCTGGGTCTTGAACCCGCGACCTTCGAATTACTAGATCGACACCCTACCAACTGAGCTACACGGACAGACGGATTTAAAACTGGAAATTATGAACTAGATACTGAATGTCATAAACATACCCGTTTGTATTAATTCAGCATCGAACCATACTAGTTCTGCAAGTGTTATGTTATGTTGAGTTATTGTTCACTCCATAATCCGTCTGACCGTGTATAGCTCAGTTGGTAGAGCGTCGATCTAGTAATTGGAAGGTCGCGGGATCAAGACCCAGCCGCAGCAGACAACATCTTTCTGCTTGCGCTGGGTATGGAAATCATATAATACACACTCTAGAACATTTTCATCTTAATATATTACGGAGTGTACAATAACACAACTTGACATAACACTTGCAGAACTAGTATTGTTCGACGCTGAATTAATATAAACGAGTATGTTTATGACATTCAGTATATATTTCATAATTTCCAGTCTGGGTATGGAAATTATATAATACACACTCTAGAACATTTTCATCTTAATATATATATATATATATATTCAATATATATATATTCATCTTAATATATATATACAAAGCTCACTTCCCTTGTGGTCGAGCACTCTGGCCCCATTACGCTCTGCGCATGTCTGGGTGCGTTGAGTCACCGTGTTGTACGACATGCCTTGGTGAGAGAAAGTTCATGGGATATAAATACAAGTGTCTCACGTATCTAGACGTGTACCAAGCTGCACTGACGAGGCGTAGAACGCCGAAACATGCACGTCTGCAGATTGTACTATATATATATATATATATATATATATATATATATATATATATATATATATATATATATATATATATATATATATATATATATGAATATATATATATATATATTTTTTTTATTCCCCTGAAGAAGCCTTAACCGGCGAAACGTTGGGACAAAATTTTTTTTTTAACTTTTTATTGCCTGTAGAAGTCTTTTTTTAAATTTTTTAAATTAAAAAAAAAATAATAAAATAAATTATATTCATATATATACCAGGCATGATTCCAAAAACCTATTCATATATATATATAGAAAATCCAATCAAAACGAAATGAGTGCAAAAATATTTGTACTGATTATTGTAAGAGTAATATTTCAAAACCCTACGAACAGTCGAAAATTCGAAATGGGAATAATGGAAGAAATAACGAGGATTTTCGTACGGAATCATGGGGAAGAGACAAAATAGGGTGGTTCCAATTTTATTATTAGAGAATCATGCAATGAGTGCTGAAAAAGATGCAAATAGTCCCTCGAGAGATACTAAGAATACGGAACGAACTCGATCTGTAAATTTTAATAATTTAATTTATGTCAATTGTACAAGGGAACAGAAGACTTATTTTATGCCTATCAACTTTTGCCTGTTGAACACCAGATCAATAAATAGGAAAGAACTTTTTATTAATGATTATGTGTCTGAGAACGATATTGATATTCTAGCAATGACTGAGACATGGTTACGTGAAGATGATAATGAATTTTCTATTGCTGAAATCTGCCCAACGGGGTATCACTTTTATCACATTACAAGGAAAAATGCACGAGGTGGAGGAGTTGGTCTCTTACTGAAGAAACATATTAAAGTCAAAAAACAATCTCAGAGAAAATTCTCTTCTTTTGAATAATATATTGATGTCACCTTGAACTGCCGTAATACCTGCACCAGAATGATTGTCATTTATAGACCACCCCCATCGAAGACTAATAAATTAAGCAGCTCAATATTTTTTGAAGAATTCTGCATATTTGTGGAACAGTTGATCATATTACCTGGCAATATATTAATGGCAGGAGACTTTAATTTTCATATAGATAACATTGGAGATTCAGATACTATTAAGCTCAACAAGATACTGGAATAGTTTAATTTACAACAGCACGTCAATGGGCCAACCCACAAGAAAGGCCACACCTTAGACTTGATTATAACAAGGAATGAAGATAAATTAGTGACTGGTATCAGAATACATGATCCAGTAATATCAGATCATCTTGCCATACATTGTACATTACAGTTAGAGGAACCACCATTAGAACAAGCTGAAATTTATTATCG